CATGAATGGGAGAGCATTCCTATTTCTAAACTTGAGAAACTGGTCTCCTCTGTCCCCAGACGTCTGTTGAGTGTTGTAAGAAGAAGGGGGGATGCCACACAGTGGTAAAAATGGACTTGTCCCAACTTTTTTGGGATTTGTTGACGCCATGAAATTTGGAAACAACAGATTTTTCCCTTAAAATGATACATTCTCTCAGTTTAAACTTTTGATCTGTGATTTGGGTTCTATTCTGAATAAAATATTAGATGGTGGCACCGCCACATCATTGCATTCAGTTTTTATTCACAATTTAGTGTCCCAACTGTTTTGGAATCCGGTTTGTAAGTTAAAATATATATATACAGTGTAGTGACAGAACAAAACTTAAAACAACTTGTAAACTATATATCAGTTGTCTAACAAGGTTAAGTCAGGTCCTCTAGATGTATTCTTCTTTGTTGAAACGTTTCATCTTTTATCCAAAAGACTTCTTCAGTCTGAAACATTGCAAGAGGCTCAGTCTCATGAAAGAACTGAGTTAAGACTGAGTTTCTTACAAGGTTTCTGATTGAGGAAGTCTTTTGGATAAAAAAACAAAACGTTTTAACAAAGAAGAATACGTCTAGTAGACCTGACTTAACCTTGTTAGATTTTTCTACCAGGATTATTGAGCATGCATCAGAATTGATAATAAATTGATGTGTTGTTTTTATTTTGTTAAATTTATGACAAAAACATGCTGTTAGCAATAATCTGAAAATCATCTCAAGACCCCTAACTCTTTTCTCAACCCACGGTGAAATCCCAACCTTAACTGTAGGACACTGATCTGTGTGAGGATATTCATGGTCTCCAACTTCTGTCATTGGTCTCCATGTGTATTCTTGACTTTTCTATCAAACTTTCTTAACCACAGAAACCTTTTGCTAAACAAAAAAGTTGCCTTTGCAACAGCACAGAGAAAACCCCCAAGATTCATGGAAAACTAACAGTTTCCTGTAATGAGCACCAGAGAACAGAAACGAGCCCCGTCATGACTTCAGTTGTTGAGACAAAGTATGAGTGTGAGGCTGGTGAAGAGCCGAGGCAGAACAAAGAAGATATAAATAACCGTGACACTCACTTTTTTATTTTAGCTATGCACACTGCCAGCTCATTTATAATGTTCCTTGTTGTGTAATATAGTGTATGTTAAATCTATTGCACATTTATGTTTTCTTAGATGGACCTCAGTTTTTGTTGGATGGAAGTCTCACAATCTTTGAGTTTTGTGAACAAATCTGAACTTCTGAGTAAGCTGTAGAAGAGATGAACAAAGAGAAGTACACACTGAGATGTGTACAAGCCAAAATAGGTGTGTGTGTGTGTGTGTGACAGTGCACTGTTGAGTGTAGCAGTCTGGTTGGTATTCTGTGGGAGACCACAGCAAACTAAAGCAGGCAGCAACAAACACACCACACTTTAAAACCGTCTCGCACTTCCCCCCTTCACATACACAAAGCAGACGCTACATTTGAACATTCAGGGACGCATGAAGTCTTTTCACTTAGTGTTATAATGAAAGTATAGTTGTGTTGCTTCACAAATACGAGTGTCTCGCCTACACACAGTTTGAAAAAGGGAAGAATCTTGTTTTCTGTTCCAATCTTCACAACTAATCTTAAAGTGGACGGTCACCTTTGTGCATAACAGGATATGTTTGGGTCTCTGAAGTGATTACAACCTCACAAACTCAACAATAACATCAAAGTCCATGCTCAATAATCCAGGGATAAAATCCAACATTTTTCAGTCAGGTCATCTGGACAGTTTCTTTTTTTTTGGTTCTGAAACATTTCACCTTCGATCCAGAAGGCTTCATCAGTCAAGGAAATGCACAACAAAACTGATTCTTCCTCCAAGCAGCTTACTCCAAAGTGGAACAAACCAGTTCTGCTTGTGATAAGATGGTCTCTTTGGTACACCCCTCCTCCATGGCCGGCCCTCTTCCTTGTTGACAGTCTTGTCAAACTGGTTGAAAACAACACAGCACAGCAGTGTGTTTCCTTGACTGATGAAGCCTTCTGGATCGAAGGCGAAACGTTTCAGCACAAAAAAAAAAAACTGCCCAGATGACCTGACTGAAAAATGTTGGGTTTTAGACAACATTTAACTTTACTTTTTTGTTAAAAACTTTTAAAAACGGGTAAAGATAATGGATGGATGGATTTTGGTTTACTATCAAAATGGGGGCCGAGATGGTGTAGAGGCAGGGCAGCCGGCTTGGGACCCGAAAGTCCCAGGTTCGATCCCCAGTCACTGCACATCACGTGGCATCTCTGGGCAGCACGTCTCATCCCCAAAATGCCCCCCGGGCGCTTTCAATAGCTGCCCACTGCACCACCTGGTGGCGGATGGGTTAAATGCAGAGACTAATTTTGCCATTGTATGGAAACATACAGTGCTGACACTGTGATGACATTATTATTATTATTATTAAAATTATCACCTGGTTTTAGCTGCAGTGTTGTTCAGCAGCATGTTTACTGGCTCGTTTCAGGTTGATATCTTTTAAGTTAGGCCCGATTGTGCAATGTGAGGGTGTTGAGCAATCACTGCGTTGGCCGGTGCTTTACTCTTCAAGCTAAAATAAATGAACTTGTGAGTTTATGGCGGCCTGCTGGCCACCAGCTGATGGTCACTGCTTTAAGTGTGATGAAACAAATGGAGTGACGGTTAAATCCAGGCTTTGAGTCAGTATTTGATGTAGAACTTGAGATTTTCACTGCCTCCTCCGGGAGCTGGCTGTTGTTTTTACTTGCATTCCTACCTACAGTGCAGTTTTACTACCCACCTGAGGCGGTTCCTTGTGTAAAGCGTGAAGCTGTGCCCTAAAAGGATATCCGTATCACATGGTCTTTTTTTAACTGGATTTGAAACGAATGAAAGAATTTGGGAGTAAAACTAAATGTGAACTCACTGTTTCTGAAAAGGCAGGCACTACTTTTTGTTCTGAGCTACTATATTCTGCTTCCTCCAGCCTTCAATTTGAGACATGTGGGCTTTAATACAGGACAGTATTAATAACCTCATCCTCATGTTATTAGACAAATTAAGTACTTTTTAACCTCATCACAGAACGTGAACATACACATCCTTTAAGAGAATTTGTCATGACACATGATTTATAGTATGTCACAATTTGAAACAGTACATTTTAATCCAACATGTTAGTTTTTATCAATTGAGCCACTCTCTAAGTGTTTAATAATCCCACATTAGCCTGAATTTCATGTCTGTGTGTTTTGTCAGACTTGTTGCCACACCTGTGGAGCAGTCGGCTTCATGCAGCGCTCTGTTCCAGGCATGTTCTGCCCATAAAAGGTCAATTTGTCTTACACAGCCTCATTAAGTGTTCGTTCAGCAGCAGACTGTTTGCACAGGATGTTTACCGTGTATTGCAGCTCGCAGCCGTATGTTACAGAGAAATGGATGAGCAAGAAGTATCTGCCTTGCTCAAGTGCCTTTGAACAGTACTGTACGATCACTGGGAGCCTGTCGGCTCTGTCAGAGCCCACCATGCCCTGCGGGTGTAATGCTGTTAGTGGCTGCCCCAGTTACACTGTGTGTGTGTTGTACAAAAGAGGCCTTTGTTATTGATTGGAGCTGAACGATTGCTGCCAAAGCTTCACTGGAATGATTGAATTAACTGGAATTCTTCAGTGTTTGTGCCGTTTGGACCGTTTGTGAGCGTGGAACGATTCTGACTCAAGTCTTTCCATTGTGACCAACACGACACCACAAGCTTTTGTTCCTGTTGGATTCTCATGAGTGACTTGTCTAGTCATGGCAAGGGACATGTATTCATACATTTTAGATTTTTTTAAATGTTGTTTTGTTATGTTGGGCAGCATGCTGCAGGAAGTAAGACAGAAAAGACAGAAAGGTTGTCTTGTAAACAAAGGGCTCCCTGCAGCTCCAAACATCTCGTCTGTGCACGGAGTTTTACAGTGAACCACATCGTTTGGGCATTCAAATATGATAAATGCACTGATGTGTTTCCTTTTTTTACTTGAAGCCACATCTAAGAATAACACTTTTGAGCACATACCTGAAACTTTTTATCTAATGTTCATGTATTGTTTGTTTTGCTCAACGTTAAACACATTGACTTGTATTATTCTCACCCAGTGGCTCACAAATGTTTGGTATCTACGGTGGCCCTGAGGTGTAAATGAACAACATGTGAATAAACAGTTACATTTCAAAAAACACAACAAATACAACAAAACACAACAACTTTACAAAAAAACAGACTTACATTTGAACAAACAGAATTACATTGAGCCAAAGCAGAAGTGGCTGAAGTCACACTTGAATAATTAAAAAAACAGAATTACATTTGAAAAAACTTAATTAGCTTGAAGATCCTGCAGAGTTTTTTCAGTCATATCCTCTTCTTTAAATTTGAACAAAACATAGCTGTCCATTTGTACAGGCTAAAGGCTAGCCTGCTAACTGTAGCTCCCTTGTATGTGTGCTGTACATCGTTCTGTTGTTTTGTTTTATGTTGCTAATAAAGTAAAAAACAAACAAACAAACAAACACCACTTCTGCTTTGGCTTGATGTAATTCTGTTTTTTCACATGCTGTTCATTCACACATCAGGGCCACCGTTGAGTATCACCACAGAAACATTAGTCTCTAAGCGCCATAATCATGATAGACTTTAAAATCAGAGTTTTTCAATGATCCCACATTAAAAATGGCAGCTCAAGCTCACCAAGGTGTTGTCGTCTCTAGTGCTCAAATGTTCCAAATGGTTTCAGATGAATGTTTGCTGAGATCACCTTTTACTCTGCAGTCTCGGCTCTTCCAAAGAGCTTTAAGAATTTTTCAGTCATCAGTTATCTACCAGTACGTTTCTACCAAGCAAATGTTATTTCTGACTTCCCATTTTTGTCCCTTTGTTATTTGAGATGACAGTTTTTCTTGTGTAACTGAAATTAATTAGACACGGTGTTTCTGCTTTTCCTCAGGTGACCGGATAAATAACGGGGCTCCGATAGAGTTCAAGTCCAAACAGTGGTTAGGTGCCTCGGTGCGATCTAATGGAAAACACATCCTGGTAGGACACCCTGTGCACCCCCCCCTCTCTTTTTTGTTGCTTTTACTCAGTGAGCAGTGTAAACAGCAAGACGTGGATACAGCAGCCACGTTGTTAACGTTACATCTTCTTAGACGTAGAAATGACATGCATGCATGGACAATAAAACACAAAGTGTATAAAGAAGAAGAAAACCTATCCTTTTATTAAATGTCATCTTTATTCTGGGCATTTTCCACCTTTGCACTAACCTTACATTTGTCAGTAAGCGACTACTTTATTCATTAAAATACAGTGTATGTAAAAAAATGACAAATTCTCAAACCCTAACAACGATTAAACTATGACCAAATACTTCTTGAGCATTTCTAGTCACTTCCTCTAGTAACAGAAAATCTTTTAGGAGTTTATTTCCTCTACGTGTGTCTTCCTTAAAGGATGCACTAATGGCTCGGCAGATGACTGGAAGCATCTATTTTCAGCTCAACTGGATGGACTTGTGACCAGCAGTCTTCTGGTGCATGTTCAACAAACAACTTCATGTTAAGCTGTTAAATTTAATCAAAACTATTTGGGTCATATCTATTATTTTTTCCCTTATACGACTAAAATGTTCACTGAACATGTTTCAGTTGAGGTTATTGACATTTTTAGCAATAGTTTTATTTTAAACGTGTAAACTGACCTCATTTGCTCAGTTCTTGAAATGAATCCTTTGCCAGCAGGCTCTGAGCTGGAGTGTGTGTCCGTGTTTTCCAGGCCTGCGCTCCGCTGTACCAGTGGGCAACCTTCGGCATGTCTGAACGTGAGCCGGTGGGAACATGTTACCTGAAGAAAGACAATACAGTGGTGGAGTACTCACCCTGCAGATCGAGTGGGTTTTCTCCTCAGGTTTTTGTACCAGTGTGCAGGTTACACATAAAAACTGTAACGTGGCTGTCATCTGTTGCTGAAAGTTGATGCTGTTGATGTGCAGAAAGTTATTGTAGGGTGAGTTAATTAAACTCAGTTGGAGCTTATAGTTGTAGATCTTAATCAGTACTGATTAGTTGTAGTCTCTTCGCCTTCTGTCGGAGTGCAGCTGGTTTATACAAACCGGCTTCCAAAAAAGTTGGGACACTAAACAAATTGTGAATAAAAACTGAATGCAATGATGTGGAGGTGCCAACATCTAATATTTTATTCAGAATAGAACACACATCACAGATCAAAAGTTTAAACTGAGAGAATGTATCATTTTAAGGGAAAAATCTGTTGTTTCCAAATTTCATGGCATCAACAAATCCCAAAAAAGTTGGGACAAGTCCATTTTTCCCACTGTGTGGCATCTCCCCTTCTTCTTACAACGCTCAACAGACGTCTGGGGACAGAGGAGACCAGTTTCTCCAGTTTAGAAATAGGAATGCTCTCCCATTCATGTCTAATACAGGCCTC